TGACCTTAGAACCTTACTTGACCAACTTGGCCATTAGGAAGTAGTGAGATAGCCGGCTTTGGTGTAGTCCGAAGTTGGTTGATACTCGATGCTACACTCATTGAGACTAGACTTTTGGGATATCTCGGCCGCAAGAAAAGATTAATTGAGCTGAGACAATGCCTAAAAGAAAGGTCAGTGATATTGAGATCCCTTAGAACCCGGTTACTATTAACTAGGACAGGTTGAACCAATCCAACTTCAAGAGGGTATTTACCTACAAACTCCATACAAGTCTAAACCTAAGGACTTGTCTGCTTTGCGTGAATATGATTATTTGTATATAAACTTGCTTATTTTGCATACTTGTACATAACATCATGAAATCATACCATAGCATTGAACCATAGCATTTCAAGGATCTCAAGGGTCTTTGATGCAGGGTCACGTTGAACCAGACATCTATCGTGGGGCAGGAGGATTTATTTTCCTCTAACCAAATGCCGTCAAAAATCAAGTACAACAAACCGGAGTCAAAGGCTACAACCCACTTGACATGGTGAGCTTAATTCTCGTGGAAGGACATACACTGATACAAAGTTCTCCAATCTAAATTGTAAGTGAATATTAACCCCACGAGATCCTTGAAAACATGCATCCACATATCATGCATCATATCATGGCAGGTTTCTCCCATACAGGTTTCCTTATCTTCCTACTGTTTATTTCAGTAGAGATGGCCCTAGAACAGACCATCAAGAGCATTCATATTCAAAACGCTCAACTTCAAGAGATGTTCTTGAACCTGTCCAAGGGGTAAGAAGAGGTCAAGGCGCTCCTCACCAGGGGCATGATCATGGGAAATCCTGGGGATGACAGAGATGACCAATTGGGGCGGCTACAAACCGAGATAGCCGTAATGAAAGTCCAGATGATGGGACAACTGGTGGGCCAGATGGATCTTATCCAAAATCTGGCTCAAGGACAAGAAAAGCTGAGAGTCCTCATCAACAAGCTTCGTTGGGATGGATGTAACCAAATGGGGAAAACATCTAGGATTGGAGATCAAGTCATCATTCAGCATCCTATGAGACAAGAAGCCGGTTTAAGGGAGAGAAGACCTCCCCAATTTTCTTCCACGTCACAAACCCAACAACCACCTCGTCAACAAGGACTGGGTAACCAAAGTAAACAGGTCCCAACTATTAGGAAGTTTACCAAACTCGGCATGCCTATATCATAGGTCTTACAGCACCTGTTAAACTTGAATTTGGTCACATTAAGGGATCCTTCTCGGAATCCCAATACCTCTGCTCCTAACTATCATCCCAATGCATTATGTGCATACCACTCCAATAATCCTGGGCATGATACGAATGACTGTTAGGCTTTGAAAAATAAGATCCAAGACTTGATTGACAGAGGAATGCTGGAGTTCACACAAGATGGCCAGACTGAGTTCTTCTGCCGTCCCTCAAAGGCTCGCCAGCAGAAGTGAAAAATTCAAACAAAGAGGCTTTTGTTTCATTTGAATTTTCAAGTTGTAATTCCTTTTGTTATTCAAACAATTATATATTAATGTCAAACTTTGTTTCATTAATGCATTGCATATGTTTGTCTTGATTTGATCCACTCATTTTCATTACATTTAAACTATGCTTTTTACTCACTTTATGACATTCAACTCTTGCTAAAAGATTACAAGCCTTTAGAGGGAGGATGACGAAAACAATGCCATAATCTCATACAGTATGCTTTTGGACATACCTTGCTAACGATGTACAGACGTTCTTTCAAATCCTAAACACTGGAGTTATAAGGAAGATAATCCCTAGTCAACCCCTTTGAGCCAAAGAAGTAGAAGTTTTCTTTCTTACACAAATTGAAACCTTTAATCAAAACCTGGGGCAGGGTAGTTTCTCAGTTAATTCAAATGCGCGTTAATCCGCAAACTGTCATTTCGTAATACAACGAATGACATCAAAAAAAAACATTCCTCTAGAATCAAAAGACAGTGAGGTTTCCCTACCAAATAGGCAGTCATTATCACTCAAAAAAGAAAATCCCACTAAGTCAAAACCTATGAAGGAGACTTAAAGAAAACGGGGGCATCCCGCTGATTGTAATCTCAAAAACAAGAACAGTCAGATAAAAATCAGGGATAACAACTCAAAAGAAAGAGGTCACTACAAATCCTCAACAAACATGAAAAATTTTGCAAAAATAACTGCCTTCCGACAAACCTAACTTGTATGAACCATCACAAAATGTCATTCCAGACTTAATTGGAGTTCAAACGCGCAATTAACTGAGTTTAGGACTGAAGAACATCACGAAGAACGGGTGGGTACAAATACACTTTGAGCCTTTATCCTTTGTTTCTTAAACCGTGAACCAAGCCACGTTACAACCCTTCAAAAGTCCTAATTGAAGCATGGGTTAGTTCGAAAGCATACTGTTACAAAAGGTATCCTGACTCCTGTAGAGCTTTACTCTAAATCTTGAGTTGAATTTTTCTTACAAAATTTCTTTACTCGCTAAAACGCATTTTCAAAAATTTCAAGACAAACATAAACTTTGCATTACTTGAATATAACTGTTTGCATATGGCTATTTGTTTGACAGCGGAGAAATTCATACAATATCCAGTGAACGAAAGCTCTCTTAGTAAACAAAATCAATTCAAGTAGGATGACACTCCCACTGACAAGTCTCCTATCAACAAGGGGACGTGACATGTCACTATCCAGCACACCTGGGGTAGTCCAGTCAAGATTCCAAGAAATCTCTCAAGAATTGCAGAGTAACCAAGGGCAAGTCTCCATCTCTTTCACTTGGAGCATTTGAGCGTCAATCTCAGCGAAGGGTTACATACAATCAAACATTTTCTGGCAGTGCCATAAACACTTGCTGCTAGGGGCAATGACAAATCTCCCCAAAATTCTTCTCATAGGATGATTCCCCAACAAGAGTTTAATCTCTAAAAACTTTTTCAACTGAGTCGACTTCAAGAATCCTCGAGGATTTCTGCCAGTGAAGTCGTCGTCTCTCCAACGGACTAAGCAACAGGGTTTATTTCCCCAACAAACAGCAGGATCCCCCAGCTTGAGTTTTCCTCTCTAACTACTACAAATAAAAGGGCCACAACTCCTCTTCCCCAGTAGACTACTCTACAAACCCCAGCAAGTTATTGTGAAGCCTGGACCCGACTGGACATCAGTTCAACTTTGATTCCCCAGTAGAGCAACGGACAACTAAGACTCCTGAACTTTTTCCCCAAGCAGGAATCAACACTCTCCACAGAGTTTTCAATATTCCCCAGCAGAGTTCTCCTCAAACAACAAAACAGGAATCCCCGGTGGAAATATTCTAAGCAAAGTTTGAAGACACACAAACTCTTCAATAGCAGTCTAGGATTTAACGACTCCCCGACATTTGTCAGGGATTTATTTTCCCAGAAAAAGATACACTTCAATAAACATTTCACATTTTATACATCCTATTTACATACATGATAAGTGCATACGACACAGTCTCATTTATTTTTTAGAACATCATGACATCATGCATTTCATACATCATGACATTGCATACATCTAACATTTTACCTTTTTCAGGAAAAGGTCAATCAACAGATGGCTACCATCAACCTTTTCAAGTTCCAGATTAATATTTGTAACAAGCCAGGAAAACTATCTGTGGACGACTGATTGTAGATTAATACCTGTAACAAGCCAGGAAAACTATACACATGAAGAGATTGAAGATTAACACCTGTAACAAGCTAGGAAAACTATCTTTCTTTCTCAGGTCAGAGATTAATACCTGAAACCAGACAGGACAACTATCTCATCGACCAACCTTTTCAAGTCACTAGTGCAGAAATGACTTTTTACATCGGGTGAAATTGACTTTTTACATCGGTTCTGGGTCCGATGTAAAGTCAGGCGATATAGTAAATCAGGGACTTTTTACATCGGTTTTGGGACCGATGTAAAAAGTCCCTTTTTTACATCGGTTATAATATCAGAACCGATGTAATAACCTATTATTATGCATATTTTAAAAAAAATTGATCCAGTTTTTTACATCGGTTGGAAGTAATACCCGATGTAAAAAGTCTCTTTTTTACATCGGTTATAATATATGAACCGATGTAAGAAACAGTTATTATGCATATTTTTTTAAAAAATTGATCCAGTATTTTACATCGGTTAGAAGTAATACCCGATGTAAAAAGTCCCCAGTGACGCGACTTTTTACATCGGTTATTATCCCCAACCGATGTAAAAAGTCCCTTTTTGAAAGTTTTTACATCAGTTTTTACTAATAACCGATGTAAAATGTATGAAATTTTTTTGGAATAGATTATTTATTTTCTGGATGTTTCCCTGTACAAATATAATTTGTACCCATTTTTTCATATTTTTCCAATATCACACAGACTATATTTATGTCGCTATATAGATTTCATAGCTTTCCAACATCACATCTAGGTCGATGTTTTCATATTTTTCACAACAAACTTACAAATTGAACAATTGTATTGCAAACTTGTATTGTATTATAACAAACAAACTTACAATTACAAATTCTTTACAAAATATACAACAATATTCAACTATTTATAAGTCTTTTTTCAAAACTTACAATTACATATTATTCACAAAGTATACAAAAAATATTCAACTATTTATAAGTTTCCAAACTTAAATTACCAATATACAAAAAATATTCAACTATTTATAATATACACTTCCCAGATGTGACACTTACTTGAACATTATGTACTTTTTATACACAGCATCATGCATTGCTCGAACATCCTCATTTTCAATAATGCTCAACTGTTCTCGCAACACTAGTAGGTTTTGGGATATATGGTGGAATATTACATAGAATGAAATAAAATAATTTAGAAGCAGAAGCACCTGTACATTTATTTAAATATGGATTAGCATCATAAAACTAAACATGTTTATTATAAATCTCAAATGCTCCATTCAAAACAGAAAGAAGTTTCAATCGAATTGCATATTATAACGACCATCTAAGAAACTTACTGTGAAGTATGGAACAGAAGCCCTGTAACCAACTAGAGTCAAGTAAAAGACACATGCAAGTGCGGCAGTGGAACGACGTTCATTTAAAGAAAGGTGCTCGCACATTATACAATAACCATGAGAAATAAGCAAAAAGGAGACAAAAGCAGCTGTCTGAAAGAGCACACCAGTTACATATACACCAAACGACATCCACAAAGAGCATGCCTTGAAATTGAAGCATGAATACCTGCAAAATTGGTGTCACAAATATATTGACAAATGTTCTATCAAACAAGCTTCAAGCATGCCAAGATTTCTTCAGTCTCACACCAGAAAAATCATTTGCAACCCAACATGAATGCATTTGAGATTACCTTAATCTCTATCAATAACTATCATATCCTAATACATGCAAACAGAACCTTGATTTATCAAATAATCCTAATCAAATTTCAAATCTTTGTTTTTATTTTTGTAAGGCTAATATCTCCTTGTTTGAACTAGGGATGTCAGTTTGGACCTGTTAATGGGGATCCCCGTGGGGAACGCCCCGTTCGGGGCCCCAAAGATGGGGAATTTTCCCCCGTGGGGGCGGGGATGGGGAGAAAAATTCCCCCGAGAGCATTTCGGGGACGGGGACGGGGAATACACCCCCCGCCCCGCCTATTATTTTAATATAGTTAATTTAATATATATATTTTAGATTAGGTTTTTTAGTCATTTCCTTTATGTTTATTTATAAAAATAAATAAATAAATATTCGAATGTGTGGATGAAGATATGAATGATGATGATGATGATAATAATAAGGTAATTTACATATTAGTGTTGATTACCTTTTAGTTTTTAAAGTATTTTTTTAAGTAAATATAATTATTGATTGTTTACTTTTCGTAGGAAAAAGAAAGTCATATCTAATTGTGGAATGAGGAAGAAGACCTTGCAATGAGAAGTTGGAAAGAGAGACATGATTGATCATTACTTGTTTGGATATTTTGCTTAATATTTTAGTTTATTTATATGTAACTTTGTTTTAAGTATTTTGATATTTCTACTTTACGTGTGTTATCAATTGAGCAAATAGAGATATGTTGACTTTTGCTTTTAGTTGACTTATTATGAAGTATTTTTTAGCTTTTCAAGCATACTCATGATGCTAAATTTTATAATTATCCCTTATTAGTTTTGATGAAGTATAGTTTTTTAAGCATAATTATGTTGTTGGATTTTTTTAGTTGTTTAGGCATATTGTTACTTTAAAAAGTATTATAGTTCATTTTGTTGAATTTTATAGCATTTTATAGAAATTTATAAAAAAAAATATTATTATTTTGTGTTCCATTAGTATTTTTAATAAAAAATAATAAATGTCAAATACTAGTATTTTTTAATAACATAATAAATATGTGAATTCTTTGTGCTTTTTATTTTTATAGAAAATATAAACATTTTAAAAAAAAAAATATTAATGAATAAATGTAGGATCTATGGGGATCCCCGCGGGGAACGGGGATGGGGATAGAAATTCCTCCGTGACGGAGATCGGGGACGGGGACGGGGAATGAATTTGATGGCGGGGAAAAAGATGGGGAAGTGTCCCCCCGGCCCCGCCCCGCCCCATTGACATCCCTAGTTTGAACTATGCGAAAGATGATACAATGTTATCCTAGTAAATATAAAAAATATAAAAAATCTTAGACTATAAAGCTAAAAATCCAATTCATATTCAACAAGCCAATAAACAAGGTCTGAAACTTACCAGAAGAGGAAAGATAGCATGAGCTGCAATGCTTTAATCAACGGAATCAAACTAAGTGTCCACTGCAAATTATTCCACTGCTCTAGCAAAACAATATAACAAAAATGAATAAACAGTTTCAAAATATTATCAAAAAACCACCTGCTTCAAAATCAAAGTATATATTAAGAATACTATGGCCATAATGGGATTAACAACTTCATAAATTTAGATGATGTATACATTTGTAAAAAAATAAGTTAAAATATAATCAATATTATACAGAAATAGCATGCAACGGACAACAAGTTGTGCCGCTACCCCTTATAACATAAAATCAAAATTAAAGTCTCATAAACTATAAGCCGTTTTCATAAGTTTTCTTTGAAGAGTATATAAACATAATCTGAAAATAGCTTATAGATATAATTAGACACGCCATGCCATAAACCATTTTCATAAACTCTTTTGAAAAATTGTCCATAGATTAGATCAAATAAGTTTATTTATGTGCCTGTAAACCTCAAAGTAGCAAAAATTACAGGCAATATAGTTAAATTGACATTTTTTAATCCAAAATTACTCCTATTTTATTCCTGTTTTTCAAATTATTACTGGTGTTAACTTGTCGGTGTTGATGTCAATGTGTCGGTGTCGGTGTCACTTTTCCGGTGGCTGTTATTCATAGATGCAGAATGATTAGAAGAAACTATTATTAAGAAACGAAAACCAAATTACCATATTTAACAACAACAATTTGATACTGATGCCATGGCCAATCTATGGACAAAAATATCCATTTACAAACATAGTATAATCAAGCAATTCATCAAACACTTGGCGGGCAGAATACAATCAACAGAACTAAGCTATATGTAATGCTTACTATGGGTATAACTTTTGAAGAAGAAGATATGAGGCTAATTATAGAGAAACAATGTCTATGATAAAATTAAATCTATCAGATAAGAATGAAACAAACCTTCTTCAAGTTCATTGGAGGCAGTGAAAAGTGAAAGAGTTGTCGTCTTGTTCATCGTATTGAGGGAGAGGTTCCATGAAAGTGATTCGAGGCGGCCGAGCCTGGGCAGCTGCCCTAGCTGGCCGGACGCTGGCTCCGCCAGTGAGTGGCAGTATAGAGTATCAGAACTTAACAAACCACTAAAGTTTATGACACGTGATTTAGTACAAAATGTTGTCAAATTCAAATAGCAGATATACAATTTAGCCTAGCAGAATTAGAACAAACTTTCTGTTGATAATACGAGTAAGAAATAGACTACTCTTCAATCTTAAATTCTAAATCTTGAAATGCTTAATGAGATAATGCAAACAAAGCAAGCTAAGAATCATGATTCATGAGAATTAACATAGAAAAAATGAAATAGAACAATGAAATAGTGAAAACCTTGTTGGATCTCCATGACTAGCCAACCAAGGCTCCACCACTGAAGCACCAAAAGAATCAACAATATGCCTATGATTATCCTTGTTAAACTCCCCACCACCACCACCACCATGGCTTCCTCCACCAACCCCCATAGATTTACTACACTCGGCCAAATTCTCCTGCTTGGCCAACCAATTCAACACCTTCAACCCATCCTCAAACACAGCCGGATACCTACTCTCCGGCGCCAACCTATACCCAACCGCAACGACAATCACATCACAAAGCTTGGCGATCCGCCGACAAAACAAATCATTCGCCACCGAATCATTACTACCACTAACCCACCCCCCACCATGAAACTGCAACATCACTGGTAATTTCCTCCGCCGATTATCCAACGCCAGCGAGTAACCACGGTACAAACCGGCACCGGTTTCAACACCAGCGCCCATCAAATTCAAACCCTCAACAGCGTTACTATTCCTCCCTCGGAGCTTCTCTTCCCTGAACGGAGGACCATAGCTACTTCTCCGTACATATCCAGGTTCGAGAGCTTGTTGTTTAGGTTTGGAGTTAGGTTTGGAATGAGGCTCAGGAGGAGAAAGAGCGGAGTGAGGAAGAAAGATTCGGATAGAGAGAGAAGTGAAAGGATCGATGTGGATATCCTTGGTGGCGACGTCGTCGGTAAAAGAAGGGTTAGAGTTAGCGACGGATTCTTCGGGTCGTGAAGTGATACCAAACGAGTTGGAGTTATTGTCGGGTTGGGCTTGAATCCGGTTTTGTAAACGGTGCTTCAAGAGGAACTTAAAGAATATGCTGTAGAGTTTTACAGCCACACTTGGCATTTCTCAGGGAAGGAACTCCAATTTTGAGTTTTGGATAATAATGATAATAGTATGGTTTTTCTTTTAGGAATGGGAAGTGGGGAAATTGAAGTTGAAGTTTAGAAGATTGGGAATAGGGTTTATGAAAAGGAGAAATTGGTTTGGAGGATGATGGAGTGAGGTGAGAGATAAGAGATGGGTTTGGTGATTTGCTTTAGATACAGCTTTTTTTTTTACAATGCACCTATTACATCGGTGCATGTAATACCCGATGTAAGGGTTGACAAGCTTTTTTTTCTGACTTTTTTTTCCAATACACCTATTACATCGGTGCATTGTAATACCCGATGTAATAAGTTACAAAAAAATTAATTTATTCTTTAATTTATTTTTTATATTAATATCTGTTGTGAAGATATTACATCGGTGTTTAGTCAACCGATGTAATATGTTGCATGTTTTTTATTAATATTTCTACTACCTTGTTTCTTATTTACAAAAATGCCACCGTATTTTTTTCTGAAAACTTTTTACATCGGTGGATGCGTTTGCCCGATGTAATAGGTAGCGAAATATATATTTTTTCATATTTTTTATATCATTGCAAATAAATACCTGATGTAAAAAGTTTGTTAATTGTATTTTTTACATCATATATTTTGATACCCGGTGTAAAAACCTTTTCTCAAATGTCTTTTTTTTAGTAGTGAGTTCCAGATTAATACCTGTAACAAGCCAGGAAAACTATCTGTGGACGACTGATTATAGATTAATACCTGTAACAAGCCAGGAAAACTATCTACATGAAGAGATTGAAGATTAACACCTGTAACAAGCCAGGAAAACTATCTTTCTTTCTCAGGTCAGAGATTAATACCTGAAACCAGACAGGACAACTATCTCATCAACCAACCTTTTCAAGTGCCAGATTAATACCTGTAACAAGCCAGGAAAACTATATGTGGACGATTGATTATAGATTAATACGTGTAACAAGCCAGGAAAACTATTTACATGAATAGATTGAAGATTAACACCTGTAACAAGCCAGGAAAACTATCATTCTTTCTCAGGTCAGAGATTAATACCTGAAACCAGACAGGACAACTATCTCATCGACCAACCTTTTCAAGTTCCAGATTAATACCTGTAACAAGCCAGGAAAACTATCTATGGACGACTGATTATAGATTAATACCTGTAACAAGCCAGGAAAACTATCTACATGAAGAGATTGAAGATTAACACCTGTAACAAGCCATGAAAACTATCTTTCTTTCTCAGGTCAGAGATTAATACCTGAAACCAGACAGGATAACTATCTCATTGACCAACCTTTTCAAGTTCCAGATTAATACCTGTAACAAGCAAGGAAAACTATCTGTGGACGACTGATTGTAGATTAATACCTGTAATAAGCTAGGAAAATTATCTACATGAAGAGATTGAAGATTAACACTTGTAACAAGCCAGGAAAACTATCTTTCTTTCTCAGGTCAAAGATTAATACTTGAAATCAAACAGGACGACTATTTACTTGACCAACTGAAGCAACCCTACCCAGGTTCCTTCTCATTTCCGAGATGTAGTTTTACACGGAATCATCATCAAGCAACCCTACATAGGTTCCTCCTCTTTCTAAGATGCAGTTTTACACTGACTCATCATCAGGCCACCCTACACAGGTTCCTCCTCTTTCCAAGATGCAATTTTACACAGACTCATCATGAAGCAACCCTACCCGGGATCCTTCTCACTTCCAGATGCATTTTTACACAGACTCATCATGAAGCAACCCTACCCAGGTTCCTTCTCACTTCCGGATGAAGTATTACATGGACTCATCAATGAAGCAACCCTACCCAGGTTCCTTCTCACTTTCAGATACAGTTCAGATACGCTCCAGACACGGACGCCATTCTGATAATCATTCAGTTCCAACTTACAGATACAGTTCAGCAATCATTTCTGGATGGCACCTTTAAGCCCATCTCCAACAACTATCCATTATCTCTCTAAATGGCATCTTTAAGCCCATTCCCTACATAATCAACTAACAAATCTTCGAGTACAAATTATTGGGCACTCTAGTGTTCAATCATCTTCCACCTTCAAGTCACGAATGGCAAATCCGCCAATCTAACTCTTCAGGTTTAAGAAGATTGAACAGGGGCAGTTGTTGCACCCCAAAATTTTCCCTCTCATTTCTCAAAGAATCACCCTGGATCCTCAAGTTTGCTTCCATCCAATTCCAAGCCTTGAACTATAAATTTTCCAACAAAATCACTCACAAGGGCAAAATGGTCATTTGCACACTGAAAAGTCAAACTTTGACTTTTTGATCAAAATCAAATTTCAAGAATCATATTTCATCAGGACATGTTGAAATATGAAGTTTGTTTCATCAAGAAATTCAAAAGTCAAAACTACTCTGGAGAAGTCAAAATTCTAAATACTTAGAATTGTTTCTAAGTGTTTAAGAAAATATGACAAGCTCAGAACTTCTGGCCATATTTTCACCATGATGCAAGTTGATTCTGGAAGAACTTCTGATTCAATAGTTATAGATTTCAATGAGATCTAAAACATTGCAGAACCAAACTTCTCCTAGAAATGCTGGGATTTCAAGTTATAACTTCTCAAAGACACGTCCTTGAAACTGGAATACTCAGCAAATTCTGGACACTTTCAAGACAGAGTTTGGTCAGAACTTCTGGGTAAGTTTTCACAAAGGTCCAGTCAGAGTTTTCTAGTGTAATTCAAAGAAGGTTAAGAAGCGTGTTGCAAGCTCCCTAGAAAGTCTGAGAGCTCTTTCAGAACATGTTGGAGCAAGGAGATACAAAGATCAGAGGTTGGATGTTATGCTGAAGCTGGACTTTTGATCCAGAACTAAGCAATGATGCAGAATATCACGTTGCAGGATTCCTGGGTTGATCAATCTCATCATCATTTAATGCTCACAATCACTTTTGAGTCTTTATCCAAGGGATTTCCTCCACGTGTACCTCTACTGTCTTTGGATAGCAAACTTTGGTGCAAAAGTGTGCTAGGCCCATGTGTTGCTTTTGCTTTTCCTTAATTCCTGCTGACAAATCCAGCTTAAGTATGACTAAAAGTTGCAAACCACCATGCTTGCTTCAAGAACAAGGCAGCGCTTTAGCATATGAAGGCTATATTCAACGCTTTGGTCAGAACTTGACCAAATCCCAAAACCTTGTTTATACAACCCGCTGCAGACCTATAACCAACAACTAATTCAGCCTATGCATGCATCCCATAATTGCACCAAACTAGCATACGAAGACTGTGATCAAAAGGCAAGGGAACAAGATGACAAAAAGGTTAAAATCCCATTTGTTTTTCCCCCCAAAATCACAACAAATCCACCTATAAATAAGTTGCCCCATCACACTTTCAACCGGGGGGCTGTATGGCTTTTGGGGAGAGATTAGCCAAAAGAGAGAAAAGAAAATGGTGATACCTTCATTAAAAATCCAGAATTCCCAAACAGAAAACCAAAACCTTTGTTCTTCCCTTGAAGTAAAAGAATTTGGTATTTTCTCCTCCGTTGCTCTTGCTGATTCCAGAATACCTGAAGGGAGCAGCTCAAGTTCGAAATACACCCTCTAGGTTCAAGGTAAGTCATTTTGACTCTACATCTTTTCATCCAGAACATCATTAAACATGTAGATATCATAGTATTGATGTTGTCTGTATCACTATGTAAGTAGAAAGACTGTGGATCAGAACTTCCTGATTAAGGCTAGACTCAGGATCAGAATCATAACTTCTATAATCTGTTATGCTTTTATCCTTCTGATTTGTCGTTTGTTGAAAACTGAATAAGTTATCGTTGTGCTGATTAATAAGAGAAAAGAGTTGAAATGTAACACCTAACTTCTGAGTTCTCTTCACCATTTTAACACACAGAACTTATAGGATTTTCTCACTGTTTAAGCACACAGAACTTCTGAGTTCTCCTCACTGTTTTAACACACAAAAATTCTATGATTTTATCACTTTTCAAACGTACTGAACTGCTGATGTTCACTCATTGTTTTAACACTTAGAACTTCTGATTCTTACATGCTGATAACGCACTGAATTGCTAATGTTTATTCACTGTTTTAGCATAACACAAAACTTATGACTTTTGAATAACTGTCTGGACACCCTCCAGAACCTCTGTGTTTTCCTTCTAACGTGTCTTGCAGGACCTCAGAGTGTACCAATCCAGAACTTCTGATTCCATTGACGTTCCTTTCTGAGTTATCACGCGCCTGGCCTCAGAACTTCTGATCCTTTTTTATTTTGCTTGCAGTAGCACGTTGTTTCTGTCTTTCATTTATTTCCCTTTTCATCATTTTTAATATTAACACAAAAGGACATAAAAATATTTTCTTTCATTAATTAATTTATTTCTTTTTTCATTAAGACAAAAACATTTTCTAAACAAGTCCTTTTTCTTTCTTGTATTGTAAATTTCAATATGGTTGTAATAGTAACTTAGGATTTAATTTTATTTGCAACCCCTATTCATAAATATGTACCCCCACCCCTAAAATATTGTAATAGCGTAGGACTTTACATTTCAGCAATTTATCACTTTCGAATGTAAATACTAGTAATTAGGGTGTGTATGGCAAGACATGAAATTGACAAATAGATCACCCTAATCAAGACTAAAATGCATGCAATCAAAAACACTTGCACACTAGAACCCTTAGGGTAATCTCACTTGTTACCTATCGGAAAAATAGTCATATCCCTCGAACATGGGCGTTTTAGCAAAGACTCTCGATAAAAGATCGTAGTCCCTCGATGACCCTCAATGTTTCCTTCGGTAAACGATCTAGTCCCTAAAAACGACATTGCTAAAACGTCCCATAGGTTTCCTTCTATGACTATACAAATGCCCCAACGCTCGTCCCTTCACATCCAACGATGGGGCTTCTCACTAAAACAATAGTAAGATAGCAACATCTAAAGGAGGAGGAAAAGAACAATTAAGACCTTTTGAG